ACCCACTTCCTCATCATAGACTTTGGTTTGGTGGCCATGAAAGCTAAAATCACAATGATGGTTTTTGCTAACACGCATGATATGGCTAAAGTAAATATTATGCCAAAAGCACTTTGTCGGAGGAGACATGTTATTTTATGAGGTTTGCCAATAAACAATAAAACACAAAGGAATGAAAGCAGGAGGGAAATGAGAAGGATGAAGATGAGGTTTTGGTTGTTGGCCTTGACAATGGGAGTGTCCTGGTACTTAATGAAGATACTCAGAACCAACAATATGATCACAGAAGACAAAAGAGAAGAAATGGCCAAGATGGTCCCCAATGTTTCCTCATATGTCAGGAAGATTACAGCTTTTGGAAGACATGAATTCTGACCCTTGTTTGGATACTGATCTTCTGGACATGGAAAACAGTTATCCATATCTAAAAAAAAAAAAACAGGTTAGAAAGATGGTTGCACTGAATTTAAACCAAAAGAATCAGAATAGAACATTACAGTGTCATAAAAGTTTGGAAAAACTAGGAAATATTTTCAGGAGAGATTTGGCCAAATATGTCCCCCTTTTATTAGCTACATGAATAAAGTGGCTCTTTCCAGAGGCCTTGTAAACACAAAGGGGAAGGGTGAGTGAGAGAAGAAGGCCTGTCCATGACAATGGTTGAAATTTTAGTATGCTTCCTCCACAGAAAAGTTATCCTGGGTCTCTGAGAAGGGAAGCTTGTTTTGTCTCCTTCTGATTTATTGACATTTGTTTGTTTGTTAATGGCAGTGACATTCATTGATTATTGATTGCTTATGTGGTATGAAGTAGGTGTCAACTCTTACGAGCCACATAAATAGACATTCTCCATGTAACCTGCTACTTCAGGTCTTCCAACAGTGCACTTATTGCCACTCTAACTGCAGCTATTCTTCTTGCTGATGGTTGTCCTGTTCTTCCCCCTTTGCCAGCATTACAGCTTTCACCAGAGAGCTAGATCTGCACAGAATGTGGCCAAAGTATGATAATTTGAGGCTGGTCATCAGTGTCTTGAGTGAGAACTCTGGGATAATTTGTTCAGTGATCAAGTATTGTTCAAGCATGAAGAAGTATGATCCAGTGAGAGGTATTTTGTTTTGTAGAACCTGAAATTTTCCTGAGTTTCTGTTTCCATAGGCAAAATAAATTCTGAAAGGCCATCCCTTTTTTTAAGCAAACATATTTTTGGGCTGGCAAAGGAAGGAAGAACTTCCATACATATTTATCTCTAATTCAATTGCATTATTTTTATCATCAGTCATTTTACATAATTCAATTTAGAAATAACAAATAGGGCTGTTGATCTCCAAACATGGCTTTGAATGTGCAGGAGCACAAAAATATCTCCTCTCTGCATCATCTTAAAGAACTGTCTTTTCCTGGAATGACATGACAGCTTGAAAATGTTGCAGATGGGTGTGATGTTGGTGCTCATGTACATTTTGAAGCAGTTGTTAGAGATTTAGTCTCTGCACAGCCTATCAAATATCTCAGCATCCCACCATTGTCATTATGTGAGTTGTCCAGAGAAAAGAAATACATAAATAAATAGAGAAACAGTGTTCACATCTGTAGTCATATCAGATTATACCCTTACATTGCAACTATCAACTTTGAAACATATTTGGCTGCATAGAAGTGAATATCAACACCACCTAATATATCAGCAGATCTGCAACCTCTGCATCGCTCGTCTTTCGCCACTCACCTATCAGATTGGAAATCTTCCCTTCTGGACAGTGAAGACAATCATAGCAACAAAATGGCTTCCCTTCTACTTTGCTCTTAGCATAACCCAACTGGCAACAGTCATTACACAGAGAAAGTGGCCGGGCCTGTTGATAAAGGAAGGAGAAGAATGCTTTTTCCCCACTACCCCAAGACTGTGTTGTAACAGTTATTCTCCATTTAGGCTCCCACTCTGTATCAGGTTTGGTAGGAAATCTTGCAAGTTGTGTCAATGAAAACAGGGAAGAGAGGAAAATACTATGGGATTTACAGAGCTACCACTCGTTGTCTTTGCCATGTATTTTGAACAAAGTTAAGGTAAAAACCTCCTTGAGTCAAGCTCATCTTCTGCTTAGCATATGAATATGTCCATGTAGTTTATTGACAACAGAATGCAGGTAGTTTCCCTCTGTGTTCTTTGTGGAAGTTTTTTTCAACTTCCTACAGCCATGGGATTTTCTAGTATTCTGGTAACTAACTACTAAACCAAAGCACCTGACTTAGCTTGTTTCACCATCAACTGAGATCTGTTAGATGTTGACCTCTGCTGTGATTTATGATGATATATCTTTGTGTAATGATATGGATTATATACCATAAAGATTTTCATGCAATAGGTAGAGGTATTTATCCTAATTTTTGGATCCATATTGGTTACATTGAATTCATTCCCTTTTTCAATACTGTATGACTATATGAAAGCTTTGTTCACATGGCCATGTTATTACATCACTTCTCACTTTTTTTTATGTGGAGAGAGTATTTCCAACTAAACCTCCCTTCCCATAAAATTAATCAATAGAAGGTTTTCCTGGCATATCTTTTGATACTTCAGACATGAGAAGGCAAGAAAGTCACTAGAACTGCTCCAGAGCTCACATCTATTCAGTTAAACATTGATAATGTGATCCTGGATTATCCAAA